GGAGAAACAAAGACTCAATAGCATACCTCGAATCCGCCAATGACCAGGAGGGCATTGATATTATGGATGCGCATCTGTTCAGCAATCTTCTCCAAGTACTTCCCAGGTAGGATGCTGAAGATGGACAGGCCAAGAGGTGAGAGCACATCCACAAGCTGGTCAACCTCTTGGAAACCACTCTGCTTACCCCCAGGGCCTCTCCACCTACCTCCCATCTATCGCTGAACTCTGTGGCATGTAGGGGCGGTAGGCAGTGGGACTGCACGTCTGTCACTCCATGGTTAACAGACAGCACCTAGGGCAGCTGAGTCCTCAGAAATGGTCACCCAAGGTAGGAGTGGCCAGGTGCTTTGATTTTTTTCAAAAATAGGAGGGCTAAAGACTAGTTCAATGGTAAAATGTTTGTCTAATATGTGTGAGGCCCCAAGTTCAAGTCACAGCACTACCATAAAAATAATAAATAAATAAATAATTTAGCTGACAACTCCACCTCAAAATAATTCTACTGCCTCACCCAGGTGTGGTGGTGTGCACCTGTGATCCCAGCATTGACAAGATGGAGGCAGACGACTGTGAGTTAAAAACCAACCTGAGTTATGCGCTACATGGTGACTTCCAGGACAGTCTGAGCTACATAATAACCTGGTTCAAAGATCCCCCAAAGAATTCAACTTATTCATTAGGAAAAAAAAAATATATATATAAAACAATAGCTTATAAGTATTAAAAGTAATTATTTACATGGGAATTTCCATTTTCCAGATTTTGTGTGTGTGTGTGTGTGTGTGTGTGTGTGTGTGTGTAATTCACTCAATTTAATTTCATTTGAAAGCACATTCATCTACACTTCCCATTCCTCTGCTATGGTGTCATCTACTTCAAATGACATCATCAGCAAGAACCACCATCAGGCAAAGGAAACTTGTCTGTTCTATCCCAGTATTTTGCCTGACACTCACCCCTAATTGTTCTTGGTTGCTTATAGGAGAAAACACACCCCTTATACCCTTGGTGTCCAAAGCTGCCATTTCACTGTCCAAACTTCTCAAGAGCACGGCCCACATTGTCTTACCAGCCGTAGCCTGAGTGAACAAACAGACACGTTGCAGCTGTACATGGCCAGGGCACCATGTGGCTGATGGGATCTGACATCCTGGAAATTGTCTTTGCAGCAATGCTGTCCATCCCCACTCAGCAAGGATTTAGAAAAGGTGGAGATGTCTGTGAGTAAAAGGAAACAAATGGTGGGCAGAAATATGGCATTCCACAGTGGTTAACTTTCCATTCAGGTCTTCCCTGAGTCATCAATGGTTTGTGGTGTCCTCCTCTCCATAGACTGCACAAAGCTAGAATGAGTTTCTGACATGGATCAGGCCTTCTGTCGGGGTCTGTGGTGGCTAAATCAATAAAACCCAGTCTCGTCTACATGAAAATGGAATGTAGAACATACTAAGCAATAAAGTCTCTTTTTCTTCAGTATCTGATTCCAGCTGTCACTGTGCCCACTTCACTCACCTCCCCACCACACACACAGACACTTCTAACAGCCTTTGATGTTTCTAAGTCATCTGTGAACTAAGGAAACCAGGCAGCCAAGACAAGGGGAAGCTATCAGTGAGGCAGCACAGCATCAGCACTTGTAAGCTCTGCCTGCTGCTGTTTAGGTTTAAATCCTGGCTCTGTCACCTCCTAGTGGCAAGGCTTTGT